TTTAGCCATTGTTTTATGCAAGTTCTGACTCAACTGGTAGCGGTTTCTATCCCAAAACATTATGATCACTGGTTTAAAAGAAAACGTAAGAAACGCTAAAACAACTTTATTAGAAAAGGTTTCGGTCCTGGGACCTTGATCATTAGTGATCAAGGTACCAGGGCGAACGTGTTCTAATATGTCCCGTTTGTCTGTTTTGTTTTTCTGGGAAGCAAACTTCGGTATCTATTTACCAAGGTTTTACTACTGATCATGTTTCCAAGTCGACTATCTTACATGGATTTTTCCCAAAGTTTGTTAAAAACAAAACAGATAACTACCTGAAAAATGGTGATAACTGCCCAAATCTGGAAAAAGACCCAAGTTCAACTAATGCGACATTTTATTGTGGCCCCCATGGTTTGTTTGCAATCGTTACCACAATAAAAATGTCGTATTACCCTGCACCTGTGTCCTTTTTACCTAACATATTGTCGGTAATTCTACCAATATTATTACAAAAAGGATACTTATGTTACAGTTTCGTGGTAATATGTTCCCAAATAATAGTCCTGAAACTGTACGTGTCTTTTTCCAGTTCAGTACCTGTATGGTTCCCGTATCCTGAAAGGGATAGTTTAAATTTCTAGATTTTCTCTCTGATAGTTTTATGCCAGGTAATTCCACAAGACTCTTACCACCTCTTGTTGTAGACAGCCTGTAGTGTCTGCATAGACAGCCTATGCTGTCTGCCAGCTAAGTTCATATTTCGCGCCATGCTCTTTGCTGCCACCTGTAGGCCTTTTCAGTGGGCATGGCGACTTTAACCTGCATCGTCCTGCCTCTCTCACTCGGCGCCCAGGCATCCTAGAGTCAACAAGGCCTTTCTCTCTCTCCCTCGCTGGCATGGCCCTTGGGGCCATGGGCACACATGCCTGTGTATCCAGATTCGCAAATAAAGTAAGAAGTCTCCGAAGCCTTATCATTCATCCCCGCTACCAAAAAACGACCCCCCAAAAAGCTAGAAACAATGTAAGCAATACCTGCTACATCAGAAACACCGACCTTTTCAGCGCTAGCTTCGTTTTATGGCCATTTTACTAATGCAGTGGTTTTTCAATTATGCTTATTCTTCATTGATTCACACTTCCTACAATATATTCCACCACTCACTGCAAGCTAAGGACAAAAATATTTTACGGTAAGTTTAAAGTGTTGTACTGTCATTATTTTTACCCCCCACTCTATTTCTCAATATTGTTAATGTAAACACGTTTTTCAGGCTTATATATGCATTTGAAAGTTAAAGTTATGATTCACTTTAGCGCAGAAACTAAAACCTGCTTTTATAAGTGGGGCCGCCTTGTTATGGTTGCCATATCTCCGAAGGAGAGGAGGGTTAAATTTCTCGATTTTTCTCTCTGATCGCTGAATGTCAGGGAAGCCTCACTTAAACCTCCCTAAATGCTGTCTATCATAGTCGACTCAGCCCTGGTTTATTTAAACTTTAGTCATCTTTCTTGGGGAGCTGATAGAATAAATCTTCTTTGCCTACATTTCACCTAATCTTATCTCAAAACTAGACTAAGGGGACAACCTGAAAACACTGGGCATGTTTCCTTACACCTTGCTGTCCCTGTGAAACCTAAACAGCAAGTAGGTATCTGGGTGTTAGTCCCACTGGTGTGGGTGGCCCTCCACCGGGGGGATTGTAGTATATCTTGAAATGAAACTAAGGCAGGGGTAAAACTCTTATTGTTGAAAATGGGGAAAAAAATAAAAAAGTTGATGATTAAGATGAAAGGGACTGACCACCTCGAAACCTGTCTTCGAGGGTGATGGACTGATTAAATCGTCTTTCCATCTTATGTCCTACTGCACCCTCTGTTATTCGACCCAAAGGAAACCTTCTATGTAGGTGAAATGTTTCAAAAACAAAGATACGTACCTAATGTTGCACCTGTGCCCCTTATCGACATTCTCCTCATAAGCGTAAGGAATGCAGCTATTTTCCAGACAATAATTAAAGGATATTTACTACGGATAACCAGCGATTTTAATACGGAGTTATATGCAGAACAAACACATGAGGAATAGTATCTTTAGCTCTAGAAACTATCCACTCTCGTGCGTCGTCAGGAGATATACAATGCTACAAGACACCAACTGACATGGGTTATCAGTGGTAACCCATGTCACAGAGCTCCTGACGACGTACGAGAGTCCGGGAAAAAATCTGGATTTAAAGATATCAATTCCATTTGGTGTGTTCTCATTAAAAATCGATTGGTTTTTTGATCGTTTTCATCATGGAGTTTATATTAGATTCACTCTAAATACACCCTTACCCCCCCCCAAAAAAAAAATTTTTGGGGGAAAGGGAAAAAAAAATTTTCCCCCTTTCCCCTTTTTCCCCCCCTTGAAAAAAAACCCCTTTCCCCCCCTTTTTTTTTGGGGGGGCCCCCCCTTTTTTTTTTTAAATTAAAAAAAAAATTAAAAAAATTTTTTGGGGGGCCCCCCCCTTTTTATTTTTTCCCCAAAACCGAAAAAAGGGGGGGGTTTTTTTTTAAAAAAAAAAAATTTTTTTTTAAAAGGAAAACCCCCTTTTAAAGGGTTTTTAAAAAATTTAAAAAAAAAAAAGGGAAAATTTTTAAAAAAACCCAACCCCCTTTTCCCCCCCCCCAAAAAAAATTTTCCCCCCCCCGCCCCCCCCCCTTTCCGGGTTTTTGGGGCCCCCCCCCCCCCAAAAAAAAAAACCCCCCCCCTTTAAAAAAGATTTAACCCAAAAAAAACCGAAAAAATTTTTTCCAATTTTTTTTTTTTAAAAAAAGGGGAAAAAAAGGGGAAAAAAAAATTTTCCCCAAACCAAAACCCCCTTTTTTTTGGTTTTTTCAATTTTTTTTTTTTTCTCCTTAAAAAAATTTTTTTCCCCGGTTTTTTTAAAAAAATTTTTTTAAAAAATTTCCCCCAAAATTTTTCCTCCCCCCTTTTTTTTTTAAAAAAAAACCCCTTTTTTTTTCCCAAACCCTTTTAAAAAAAAATTTTTTTTCCCCCGGGCCCCCCTTTTTTTAAAAATTTTTTTTTTAAAAAAAATTTAGGGGGAAAAATTTTTCCCCCCCCCTTTTAAAAAAAAAACCCCCTTTTTTTCCCCCCCAAGTTTTTTTTAAAACCCCAAAATTTTCCCGGGGGGTTTTCCCCCCCCCCTTTTTTTTGGGGGTTTTAAAAAAAAAAACCCCCCCAAACTTCCCCAAAAACCCCAAAAAAAAACCCCCCCCCCCAAAAATTTTTCCCCCCCCAAAAAAAAAAACCCCCCCGGGGCCAAAAAAAACCCCAAAACCCCCCCTTTTTTAAAAAAAACCCCCCCCTTTTTTTTTAAAACCCCCCCCAAAAACCCAAATTTTTTTTAAAAAAAAAGGGGGCCCCCAAAAAAAAAAAATTTTTTTAAAAAAAAACCCCTTCCCTTTTAAAACCCATTTAAACCTTTTAAAAAATTTTTAAAACCCTTTTTTAAAAATTTTTTTAAAATTTTTTTTCCCCCCTTTTAAAAAAAACCCCCTTTCCTTTTTTTTGGAAATCCCCCTTTTTTTTCCCCCCCCCCAAAAAAAAAATTTTTTTTTCCCCCCCCCCCCCCTTTTTCCTTCCCCCAAAAAAAACCCCCCTTTTTCCCCCCCCCTTTTAAAAAAAAAAAATTTTTTTTTTTAAAAAAAAAAAAACCCTTTTTGGGCCCCCAAAAATTTTTTTTCCCTTCCCCAAAAAAAAAAAAAAAAAAAAAAAAAAAACCCAAAAAAACCCCCCCCGGGGAAAAAAAAACCCAACCCCCCCAAAAAAAAAACCCCCCCCCCCCAAAAAAAAAAAAAAAAAAATTTTTTTAAAAAAATTTTTCCCCCCGGGGGGGGAAAAAAAAAAAAAAAAAAAAAAAAAAAAGGGAAAAAAACCCCGGGGGGAAAAAAAAATTTTTTTTTTTTAAAAAAAACCCCCAAAAAAAAAAAATTTTTTTTTTTTTTAAAAAAAAAAAAAAAAAAATTTTTTTTTAAAAAAAAACCCCTTTCCCCAAAAAAAGACCCCCCTTTTTTTTTTTTAAAAAAAATTTAAAAAAAAATTAAATTTGGTTTTAAAAAAAAAAAAAAAAAAAAAATTTTAAAAATTTTTTTTTAAAATTTAATTTTTTTTTGGGTTTTTTTTTGGGGGGGTTTTTTTGGGGGGGTTTTTTAAAGGGGGGGGTTTGGGGTTTTCCCCCCCCCCCCAAAAAAAAACCCCCTTGGCCCCTTCCCAAAAAGGGGGAAAAAGGGTTTTTTTTTTGGGCCCCCAACCCAAAAAAAAACCCAAAAATTTTTTTTTTTTTTTTTTTTTTTTTTTTTAAAAAAAAAATTTTTTTTAATAAAAAAAAAAATTTTTTTTTGGGGTTTTTTGGGGGGGTTTTTTTTTTTTTTGGGGGGGGGGTTTTTTTTGGGGTTTTGGGGGGGGGGGGTTTTTTGGGGGGGGGGGGGGGGTTTTTGGGGGGGGGGTTTTTTAAAAAAAACCCCCTTTTAATTTTTTAAAATAAAAATTTTTTTTTTTTTAAAAAAAAAAAAATTTTTTTCCCAAAAAAAATTATTTTTTTTAACCCCCCAAAAAAAAAAAAATTTTTCCCCCTTTTTTTTTTTTTTTTTTTAAAAAAAAAATTTTTTTTTTTGGGGGAAAAAGGTTTTTAAAAAACCCCTTTTTTTTTGGGGGAAAAGTTTTTGGTTTTTTTTTTTTAAAAAATTTTTTTTTTTAAAAAACCCTTTTTAAAAAAAAAAAAATTTTTTTTTTTAAAAAAAAAAAAGGGCCTTTTTTTCCAAAAATTTGGGGAAAGAAAAAATTTTTTTTTTTTAAAAAAAAAAATTTTTTTAAAAAAAAAAATTTTTTTATTTTTAAAAAAAAATTTTTAAAAAAAAAATTTTTTTTTTTTAAAACCCCCTTTTTTTAAAAAAAAAAAAATTTAAAAAAAAAAAATTTTTTTTTTTTTGGGAAAAAATTTTTTTTTAAAAAAAAAAAAGGGG